GATCCATAAATACATCAGGGACAAAGCCTCAACAGACAATGTGCTCAGTGAATGTCTCAGACAACAGGGAACGGAGGTTGAGGTGCCAGAGATACCATCATGGGAGGACAAACCCCTACATGGGATGTACCACCAGCAAATAACCCAAGTGGCTGATATAAGTAAATCCTACCAATGGCTGGAAAAAGCTGGACTCAAGGACAGCACAGAGGCCCTCATCCTGGCCGCCCAGGAACAGGCCCTAAACACCAGAGCAATAGAGGCCCAGATCTACCACACCAGACAAGACCCAAGGTGTAGGTTGTGCAAGGAGGCCCCTGAGACAGTCCAGCACATCACAGCAGGGTGCAAGATACTGGCAGGGAAAGCGTACATGGAGCGACATAACCAAGTGGCAGGCATAGTGTACAGAAACATCTGTGCAGAATATGGACTGGAAACCCCAAGATCAAAGTGGGAAACACCCCCAAAGGTGGTGGAGAACGCCAGAACTAAGATCCTGTGGGACTTCCAGATCCAGACAGACAAAATGGTAATGGCGAACCAACCAGACATTGTCGTAGTGGATAAACATCAGAGGAAAGCCGTTGTGGTAGATGTAGCAATACCAAGTGATTGCAACATCAGGAAAAAGGAGCACGAGAAACTAGAGAAATACCAGGGCCTCAGGGAGGAACTGGAGAGGGCCTGGAAGGTGAAGACCACAGTGGTGCCTGTGGTCATCGGGGCCCTCGGGGCAGTAACCCCCAAACTGGAGCAGTGGCTACAACAGATCCCAGGAACAACATCAGACATCTCAGTCCAGAAATGTGCAGTCCTTGGCACAGCCAAGATACTGCGCAGAACCCTCAAGCTCCCAGGCCTCTGGGAGGACCCGAGCTCAGAGGATAAGAACCACCCGCGGTGGGTGAGAAGGGAGTTTTTTATATATATATATATATATATATATATAATATATATATATATATATATATATTTCTTAGATGTTTTTAATTTATACAGCATTTTTTTACACATAATGACCAATAAAAGTGCCTTCACACCATGACTCAAACTCACTTATCAGAACATAAATATATAGATAAGACAAAAATCAGTAACAACTCAGTAACAAAAATCAGTATGTTGCAGAGGATGAATCAAACTATGAATACTCTTTACACTGAGTCACAGTATTCTTATAAACAAATCTTCTTAATTGGAGTTATTAAAAAAAAAAAAATCTGACTGTTCTTTACTACTTTAACCGAGTGGAGCCTGAATTCACTTACAATCATATGAAAACAAATTCTGCTATCAAAGTGATTCTAAGTTAAGTAAATATTGGTAACATTAACATCAAACAAAAGGTGTTTAGTTGAAAATCAGCTAAACTGGGGTTTAATGGCCATAACTCTGAACACTAAAATGCTGGAAAGTCCCTCCATTATGATCTTGGTTTGCGTTAAATGTGCATCAGTAGGAATTGATGGTATGAATACACCATGTTGACTGCATGGTAGTTTGATTCAATTTTATGACAAAAGTATATCAGAGGTTATTGAAACACAGAAAGAATACTTTCGCAGTATATGCTGATGACTACATTTTCTATTCATCTGAAAAGTGACAAATGTCACTATTCTGTGTCCTGATACGCACAAGCGGCAAGAAAAGCAACTATGACGGACTATAATGAGGATTAAGTTGTCAATATGCTGTTTGAAGTTGTTGAAGTTGTTGCTATGCTCTACTGTTAGCATCCATGTTTCCTTCCGCAAACACTGAGCATTTCTTCTTTTTATGGCGGTCGGCTGAGAACGCTGACGCTTTTGCGCCCTCTACTGCACATGCCGGATACTTTCAGGTCGTTTGGCTGTTCACTCTGCAGAACACAAACAGGTCACATTTATTTGGCAGTGTGAACGGCCACGACAAAAAAAAATAAATCAGATTTGACAAAAAAATCGGAATTGGGTCACTTCAAGCTGCAGTGTGAACACAGCCTAATAGTCTGTCTATTAACAAACTAAGCTACTAAAGTAAGATTTTCTGTTTTGTTTTGACAGAAAGAGAATCTAGCTCTCCTTAATTTTTCACGTGATGAGGTTAATAAACTTAAACAGAACCAGAGTGTTTTATTCATGAGCAACTCCAAAGATTTATGTGGATAAATAAATGAAATGTAAAGTTTAATGGTTCCAAAGAGGAAGCTGCTGATCTTTCAGGTCTTTCACTGGGATTATGGTAAAAGTCCTACTTCAGTTTCTCCTGAAACTACCTCACTCCATAGTTATGCTGTGAAGTGAGAGGTCGACTGGGCTGCTTCCAGATATGGAGCCCTTCTGGCCACGATCCAGCAAACCGTTGATGTGGTCTGTGTAGGTTTTTTTGCCAGTGTTTTGAAAGTCAAGTGCAGTTAGAGGCCAGACTATTTTCCTAAGAGACAGCAGAGTTAAACCAGATGTTGTTCTGCACAAGGTCACATAACTGTGTATATGGAAAAATGAATTATCACTTGTGACGTTGGGGAATTTAGACATGGTGCCCAGTAGTTGCAGAGAGAGTTTATTCTCTGACCTGTCTGTTTTGCTGATGATCGACAGGCACTTCCACAGCATGGACGAGTTCAGCCACTATGAGCTGCTGGACTCCTCTACTCAGCGGTCGGTGGCAGAGGGCCACAAGGCTAGCTTCTGCTTGGAAGACACTTCCTGTGACTATGGATACTACCGGAGATATGCCTGCACGTCACACACACAGGTCTCAAAAGAAGCTCCAGTTTTTTTTCATGAATGCATATTTAAACATGAAACAAAACTGTGACACTTATGAGTGTTTCCAGAAACCATGCTAAGCTCATTTAAAAGTCTATACCTCAGTTTTAGTGGGTTAAAATAACCAGTTTGTCCTGTCACTTTTGTTTGTTAATGAAATACCATTTCATTAGAAGCCTGTCTGCTCTATCAGATTTTGACATTGATATAGTGACAAGCTTTTAATTTACAATAATCTTGTATTTTAAGTAATTTCTCTGAGTCCTGGGTTTTCTGAGATTCCTTCCCATGAAACAGATAAAAAGAAAGCTACTGCAGTAAATACAGTCTGAACCACGGTTCAGATGATGAGTTTAATTAAAAACTTCTCAATTAAAAATTACGTTCCATCTCAACTTCAATAACATCCATATGAGATCAGAGAGGCGCTAAGAAGGAAGTTTATGCCTCTCCGCTTACATGAATATAAACAACTTTTGTACTGTGTTTCCTATTTCCTGATTCATTATTTGATTTAAACTCAAATAATTTAGAAACTGAGGTTATTTTGTAATTCTTGTTCTTTCAGGTACAGTAAAGCAGTAACATACTTTAGAATAGCTTAAATTTACCTTTAGCATTAATCATGTGAAAGATCTGCACATGTCTTAACACATTTATCATATTATTGTTGAATGTGAATACTGTTTGATGTGCAGGGTCTGAGCCCAGGATGTTATGACACCTACAACGCAGACATCGATTGTCAGTGGATCGACATCACAGATGTGCAACCTGGACAATATACCCTCAAGGTCTGTGCCGAACAGGCTATCTTTGCCTTTGGGGCACATTTCTTTGTAGAATCTGCAGTTAATGATGTTGCTGATTCGCCTCTGTTTCGTACGGTTTGTTGTGCACAGATCAGTGTAAATCCTTCCTATCAAGTTGAAGAATCAGACTACTCCAACAACATTGTGCGGTGCGACGTACGTTACACCGGCAACTATGCCTACGTGTCCGGCTGCCACATGTCGCCGTAAGCATCATGAATGAAGTGACTGTTTTTTTATTTTAAAATTGTGTTCTCTATTAAGTCACATGCTCCTTTTGCTTCTGTATTTTTCAGATATTAAGACACAGCAGTGATCCACTGATATTCAAGAAGTTTCCCCTGTGAATGACTTTGACGAGTGCAAAGACCAACAGCGGATGTGTGAAAGATGATAATATGTGACATACGTTTATTTTAGAATAAAAAATTTAGAAAAAAATAAACATAACCATCAGATATTATGGCACAAGATTACATTGAATCTTCCTTGCTTTATGAGGAAAAAGACCTCTGTTATACTTTGTCTCCCTCTCTCGTATCCCCCAAGCCTTTATTGTAAGAGACTTAAATAAATCTGTTATATTTAACAGCTTAAATAATAAGATTAAAACAACACAATACCTTCAGTGTTTGGTCATTGTATCTTCTCTCTCTTTTTGGCTTTTCTCTTCAGGGTTTGCCACAATGAACCTGCCTCCAATTAGTCCCTTACGCAATATATCAAAAAGTGAAAGCTATCTAAAAGAAAAATGCATTTATTATATTTATATGTCTTTATTCTAAAGCTTTTGATGGAGCTTCCTTAAATAAATTTGGCAGACATTGTCTCGAATGTTTTGGTTCTTCATGTGTTTTTTTTTTTGTTTTTTCAGCCGTTTAGGCTCTGCTTTAATAAACTGCACGCAATCAAAAAGAAGAAAAAACAGATTAGTTTCTTCATGTGTTGGCAAACGTCCTGTGACTGCTGAGTGCAATAACAGTCAACAATTACTGAAAATGAAGCAATAATTGTACAGGTTTTTGCTAATCAGTTTATCTACATAAACTTTATTAATGATTTTATTGTTTGTTACACAATTTACCACTAAATTACATTTTTATATCACTATCGTTACTATTATTATTAATTGTTGACGCCATACATTTCCACAGTGTTCTGTTTTAAGATGTAAAGAATTCATTACATACAAAACATTTTACTGAGGTTTCTATTAGCAACATAAATAAAGGACCTTTTTATTTATGTTGTTATGTTATCTTTAATTACTAAAATATTGCTATAGCGTCTGTAAGTAATTTAATAATTTCACAATATAAAAATAAATAAATAAATAAATAAAATGAAATTTCTAGTGCCATCCAGGCTACGATCCATGTCATCCAGTCCACCAGGGGGCAGCACTGAGACATGCCTGAGTTTATTTGAATTCAGTGATTTTTATCATTCTAACTGCAGCAAACCACCAGCAGTCAGTCAGGTGTTTGGGTTAAATGCGTGTGTGTGTGTGTGTGCGCGCCAGACGGTCACGTAGAAGCCGAACAGAACCGTTTGGTCCGGCGGGAAAATGCAGCCGATCCGACTGTCGATCCCGTCGTTCCGCTCGGAGAACAGCTCGGTGGAGAAAGGATTCACGGTAAGACCAACGGAAAACCTGCGTTCGTGTCTCCGGGCAAAAAAATCACCGCCGTAAAACTGTCGCTGTTTCAACGAGTCTTTGCGGCAGAACGTCACAATGTGTTACATTCTCCCTGTAAACATGTCAGTTTTCTCCATTTAACTTGCTGACTTTTGGCAGCTTTACATTAAAGAGCCACTGCACTTCCAGACAGCCTTTCTTTTTTTATTTTTTGTGGACGAGTTTAAACCATTTCACCTGAAATCATCACCGAAATTTAAAAAAAAAATAACTCAGAGAAATTAATTATTTCAAACAGGTGGTCTAATTTTGGGACACTTTTCAAAGGGATTGCAATTTTAAGCTATTGACAATCTGGAGTTTGATTGTGCTGCTGTCATATAGATTGAATAGATAATAATTAATAGTAACCTCCGTAAAATACATTTTGCTTTTGATATATATTTTTATACAATTCCCTTCATTAATATTCATAGAAAATGCTAGGCTTTTAAAACCCTGGTCTGCACTTTGACTAGGCCATTCTGATACATAAAAATACTTTAATCTAAACCAGGGGTGTGCAACCTGTGACTCCAGAAGGCTCTTATGAAACCGAGTAAGTTTGTTTTTTTAAGAAAAGGTGAATTCAGCAGTGCGAGCAGCATATTTATCTACAGTGAATACATACAAGAGAAGGACACCAATGGCACAAAGTTTTTGAAAGCAGTTGAATTCTTTTTAGTTTCAAACTATGAGCTTTTCCTATTAAAGTTTCTGTGCAGCTCCATTGTCAATCCAGAACTTGCTGTCATTGTGGTAGATACAGTCACGTTTGCGGCGAGTTTTTTAGGGAACAATCAAGCAGAGTGAGGGAAGTATACAACACGTTTGGTCAGGGGTGCTAACAGTCACTTTGACAGATCAGCCAAAAAAATGGAGACAGATGTTTCCTTTCGTTAGCTGCTAAATGCTGACCAAATCAGATTTACTCTACATGAGGAAATCACTTCTTTTTGTCTTTCCGTCAGGTCTTCAAAATTGACGTCCTGGTGAACGGCAGACTGCACAGTGTTGAGAAACGCTACAGTGAATTTCACGCTTTGCACAAAATGGTGAGACCCAGATTTTTATTTTGTGGTGAGGTTTTTGTGCTCAGATATGTATGTAACCATAATGTCAGAAAATATATGTATATAGGAATATGTGTTTACTTCCACATTCAAAGGTGATGCTATCCATTTCAACAACTAAAATGAAATTTCAAACCTTCTTCTTGGCAGTATTATAGTCTGTCTCCTTTAGATGTGCACAATTTTATTGGCTGACCTTTCAGCTCTTGCTTGTTTTAGCAGCCTCATTGTTGTTTTAGCTGTTTCAATTGTCTTATTAAAAAGTCTTTTATCTCTCCTTTAAATTTTTTATTGCATCATTATCATGCATTTTATTTCTTTTAGTTGCATTTAGTTTTAAAGCACCCTGTGCAGCATGAAATGTCGGTAATGTGCAATTTCTTTTGTAACCGTCTGTAGCAAACAGCTTCACAATGCAGTCAAAACTCTCACCCCTTCCTCTCTACTGTTCTATTTATTTATGTAAATCATAAATAGAACAGTAGAGCGTTTTGGCACCTTCAGTGCCAAAACCTTGCAATTTTAAGATGTGCAACTCCACTGATTTGAGTGAATGAATGAATTTGCAGAACCTGACAACGTGCAGAAGCATCTTGATAAATTAGAAAATTATTGAACAGTTGGTGGTTTACTAAGTGAAACATGTTTGATGAATTCACTACACAAATGTGTTCTTTATGAAATTATAATAATTTTCCACTTGGAGGTAATGAAAACACAAGATTTAAGATTAGAATGTAACATCAGGGCAATACAAAACAATTAGCAGAAATGTGAGGCTAATGAAAAATATGCTTCATAAGTAATAGATGTTTTTTTTGTTTTAAAGGTACTTTTTAATCTGACACGTTATTTATTTACACCTAGTGTAACTAAATACACTAGGTGTAAATAAATATTTGAGTCTGGTTCTAAAAGTAATCTGCTTTGTATTTAAAATAGATGTTTTGCTGCATTTAAATGCTGAGTGGAAACTGTTGGCATATTTCCCTGTTCATCACACGATGACGCGTCACCTTCTGCAAATTTTCCTGCCTCTTTTGTAGGGGAAAACAGATGGAAGTGAATCAACTTGTGGGTTGTTCTGGGCAATTAAATTAAACAAATTAACAGAATGATGTGTTTTGTGTATGTATATTAAAAAAAACACTTGAAAGGACAATTTCTTTCACTGCTGCTTTTTTTTTTTTTTTGCAGTGACAGTGCAGTGATTACTTGAATATTTTCAAGTTTTCTGAAGAACATAGTGGAGCACACATTGTTAAAATTGTCTGCCCTGACATCCAAGAACTTAAAACTCAATCAATTATTTTTGAAAATGTGTTTTATACTTTTGAAGCTCCAAACAACCCAGGAGTTTCCTTGAATCTTAATCACAACATACGGTCTACCTTCCCCCAGAATGTTGCATTTTATTTCACTTTTTGTATGCAACACATTGATAAACAGTCATTTTAACACAGCTAAGGTGTTAGAGGTTTTCTTTTAGTAACTTTGTAATAAAGCACAACCTAGATAGGATATTTAAAGCTTAATTTAAAAATCTATCACAATTCTAAGATTATTAGAACTATAAAATGCAAAATAAAATAAAGTTTTTTTTAACAATTGGACTCGTTTCAGCTGAAAAAAAGCATAAAACCTCCTGAAATCCCTTCGAAGCATGTTAGAAACTGGGTCCCTAAAGTTCTGGAGCAGAGGAGGCACGGCCTGGAGCTCTACCTGCAGGTAGACTGCTTATTTTTTCTGTCTGCTGACCTAACTCATTGAGCAACTTTGTTTCTGCATCCTGGCGTGGCGCGCTCACAAAAATGTCCTTTTGTTTTGTTTTTTTTGGTTAGACTGTAATTATGGAAAACGAGGTCCTCCCAAAGATATTCCTGGATTTCCTCAACGTCCGCCATTTTCCTTCAGTGCCAAAAACGGAAAGCTGTGGGTGAGTTGGAACTGCAGGTTGGCTTCAGTATAGAAAACTAGAGCAATTTGTGGCAGTTTATGTTTGTGGGACAGTTTTGTTCCCAGACTCTTGACCGACTATGTGATTTGACTTCTCTTTCTTTCATGCTTTTCAGCTCTTTTGACACAGAATCAATGGAATCAAGGTGAGTCATTCTGAGTTTCCTCCTTTCGCATAAATCAGCAGGTCATGTGCTCGTATTGCTTTTCACCCAGATAGTTTGCTGAACTTTACCCGCTCACTTCTCTTTTTTCTTTGACTCTTTTTCAGTAAACTGTCTCATCAGCCAGTGGTTGTTTATCTCAGAGATCCATACCTGCTTCCTTCTGCACACGGTACGCTCACACGACATCATGACCCACATTTAATCACAGTGTTGAGAAAAGTATTTTCCCTTACACAGATCTCTTCTACTTTTGTCTTTTATTTTTCTCAGTGAAATGATGATTTGATTCATGAAAGGAACAATGTTCTCTAAAATTAGTCTAAAAATCACATCAACCAGATGGTTAAATCAACATTTATAGAATTATAGGCCTCAGTAAAAGTCGGTGTTTATGATTCACACAAAAAAGAAAGACAGAGGGCAAAAATGGCTTCTGTGGGGGAGTTCCCAGGAAAAAACCCCACTGCTGACAGAAAACAATAAGACATTTTGCCTCTTTTACACCAACAACCAACTTGATGATCTTTGAGTAAATATGCTACGGATTTAAGAGGCAAAGCAGGAATATTTTAGGCGTGTCCATTTCATTTTATATAACATAATTTCAGAAAAAGAGCATCAAGAAACCACTTAAAATCTCTCTGATCCTACTTTTTATAGGTATATGTTTGAGTACAATGAACATTATTCTTTTATCCTATGAATTTCTGACGTGTCTCTGAAATTCCAAGCAAATATTTTGTATTTATTTGCGGTTTTTGTATTTATTTTTACAGAGCTATAACAAAAAAGCTAAATTATAAGGGTGTGAACACGCATGAATAAAAGATTTAATTACATTTATAGACAAAAGCTGTGAAATTGCATATGCATTTTTTTTCTCACCTTGCAATTTTTTTTCCCTTATTAGATTCCTTTTCCAATGTTGTGATTGAAGGCGTGGTGGACGGCGTTTTCTACCCAGATTTTCAGCAGAGGTAGAGTCGCAAGCCGGCAGTCAGACCAATGCGTCTCACCAGCTTTGTTGTGCACCAGGAAGAACGTATAAGAACATAATTTGAGCCTCTTTTTAACTCACAGACATACATCAAAAACTCATAAGTCTTCTACTTTTTTTTAAACTAAAATTGATCACTGGTTTCTGAATAATTCACTACAAAACTTATGTTTTGCTACATATTCCATCTGGTTTTCACTTTAAAACTCAACTTTAAGATGTAAATTAAATGAGAAATAGTCTGACAGGTACATTTAGATAGCTTGGAAAAAGAGAAACATTCTCAGTAGTTTTAGAGTTAGATATTGGAATAATAATAAAAATAGGCTGGAAATGTTAATGAATGTATCGTATCTGGAAGATAATGGTTGAACTAAACCTTTGATGCATTTCTTTTTGCCATGAAGGAGCCAGTCGAGGGCGAACGGCAGGAATAATGTGGCTCTGGTTTCATTCTGGTTACACTGAAAAAATGTAAGCAGATTCTGAAATGATGTGGATCCTCATATGTAGTTTTTTGTTAAATGGTTCAAATGCTCCGTTCCAAGCAGTGGTGAACTTGAGGTTTTTAAAGAAGCACGCAGTTTGAAACCAAAACTGCAAAAGCTTTCACTGTGGTGTAGTTTGAGTAAATTAAAAACTGCCTTTAAATAGAAATGACCGTTATACCAGCTGTATGAAATAAATGGTTTATGACTCATTACGTTACACGGAGCCTGTTGCATAAAAATCTCTTATTAGATATTGACACTCCTGGCAAAATATGTGTAAAAAACCTTAAATTAAATTGTTTTTGTGGGGAGTTGTTAATCCTGGTGTGCTACTCTTCACTCCAGTTTTATAAACCCTGCAGTTTCTTTCCTCCAACTTTAGAAATATTGAGCTTAGTTGAAAATACACATTTGCCTTATTTAAATTGCATCCTCTTTTTAAATAATTACCATTTAAAAATTCCTTCAAACTCAGATTAACTTAAAAATTATTAATAAGAAATGCTTCGATTACATTGTCTTTACACTTAAATGTACTTACAAACATGAGTATATTTCTTAAAAGATCTTTATGTTTCCCAGGTGTATAACTGTTGAAATGTTTTTAGCCTCTGCTGTTTGATGCAGAACTTACTGAACCTTGATGGTACCAAACCTGCTTGGCATCAATTTCGATTAGACTAATTAAGCAGAAGTTTCCACTTTTTAATCAGATCCTTAAAGTTAGAGTCGTGTGTTTGTGGTGCGTCTACCTTATTTTCTGTTACAAATTTTTATGCGAAGACTTATTTATTGTGAAAGGAAAACAATACACAGCCTATAGAGATGGTCAATTGAATAATTGGTTTCAGATTAGTTGTTTTTTTTTTAGTTAGCGATCTATGCAAAACTATTTCAGCTCAAAAACGAGTTTTGAGCCGTTACTGTGAAGCTGCTTCTGTACGAACGCTGTCCTGGCAGCTGTAGGTTGAAGGATGATTTCCACAAAAAAAATTCTTGTTTCTAAACAAACCTGGATCATTTTCTCTTTTTATTCCTGAAAACCAGCATCTAACACTAACTGCTTTCATGTTGCATTAAAAATGGGAATATATCATTAATAGGCCAGTTGTGAACATATTAATTAAGTAGAGATTTAAAGGGTAATTTGTTTTACCGTGCAATATAAGACCATACAACTACTCACTGTTTTGTTGATGTCGACTAAATCTGTGACTTTGTTTGGAGTCGTCAATGATCAGTTGTTTAATCTTTTTTTTTTTTTTTCCCTTGGCTGGATCTTTATTTCTTAACACTGAAGCAAAAATCTCTGTTTATTAGTAAAAGGAAGTTTATTAAAATCATCCTGTAAAGATTCATGGTGAAGATTTTTATGTATTTATTGTGTAACTGAGTGGAAGTGTCATATCTGTGCCATAATGTCAAACTACAATAAACGCTGAATCTACACTAACAAATGCTTTGTAATATACAAACACTAATAAAATTATGTTTCACAAAGTTTTGTCAGACTTGATTTTATTAAATAAATGCATTTATCAATACAGTGTAATAAAAAAAAGATTAATCACAATTACATGTGTCAAGTTTGTTTTTTTTTCCCCTCACATTTTGGTAAAAACTAAAGAAAAAAAAAGAAGGTTCAAGCTGCTGAAACTTAAAGACATAATACTCATTCAACCTCATCCTTTCCCATTTATAGTCTGGCTTGTTTATGAGTTAATCTTCCATCAGATCATAATTTAATGGCTTTCTGGCAGTGACATTATGAACACAAACATACAGACTTTTGGTTGTACTGCAAGGTGCTCTGGAAGCTGAAATTTAAGAACAAAATATTACATTTGGGAATAACCTGAAATGCTAAGTTCTTCAGAGTTCTTTCATGGCCTGGCCACTCGGTAACAGTCCAGCAGTAACAGATTTACAGGAATGTGTGATTCAGTACCCGGAGTTCATCCTTATACTTCTTGTTTTGACAAGTTTTAAAGTTCTGCGTGACCAACTTCACGTTTGAGCGTCTCGTCTGGCTCGGCTTCTGCTTCAGGTTCCTTCATGTTGGCAAAGGCTACTTCACTCCTCAGCTGCTCCACAGGAGGGAGACCTACCGCCAAGTTTCTTACTGCAATGGCTGTCATCAGAAATCTACCAGACAAAGGGACAAGGTTGTTGTTTCCAAGTGTTGCAATAACATTTTCATTAGGTCATTCAGCTGATTTCAAGATTTTAAAGTCAATTTGTTTCAAAAACATTCACCATCTCAACATGCTTGTATTTTGTGTCATCAGTTCAATTATTTCATTTGCCGTAATAGTTTAATTATGGCATTATATTAAAGTAATTAAGTCTGAATGTGTTAATTGGAACTTGAATGTTTCATTACTTGAGTTTTTTTTGTCGAGAAAACTGATTTAAAATTTCACTTTTTAAAAATATCAAGAAAACTGAATTTATTGTTTCTTTTCCCACCTGAGCATTTCAAACTATCACAAAGCATCCTGAGATAAAAAGGAGTTTGGTTTGTGTAGTTAGACGAAAAAGTCGAGCAATTTGCTTTAAACGGTTTTTGTTTTCAAATGTTATTTTTCACTTTTTGAAAATCATGGTGAAGATTTTGGAAAAATAATTGTTTTAAGTCTTATCCAGATTTGAACAACTTTCCGAGAGCGTGCAGGAACAGAGAAGCACGTACCCCCTCCGTATCGTGTAGTACTTTTTAACGACAAAGCGATCCAGTCGCTCCAGAACTCCCGCCTCCCTGCGTTTCTTCACCTCCTTCATCCGACGTTGCCTCTTCAGGAACAGCTGCACGACGGGGTCGGTGGCGTTGACCTCCGCCTCTCTGTCGTCCTCTGCCGCCATGAGAGGCTGCAGCTCCGGAGGGAGAGGCTCCGTTTCTGCACAGTCATTTGTCAACATATGATGTGAATGGATTCAAGTGGCAACAGTTTGCTTCTCATTTAGCAAGAACTCTGTCCCCAAAGAAAGTGAGAAACTTCAACAGATGAGTCAAGTTTTAGCCTAAAAGAAAATTAGACAAATCTTCCTCTAAATACTGCAATAAACTTGGTGTGTTCGAATACCAGTTTTATAGTATAATCCAAACTAATCGTTTTTGAGGTTGATTCATTGACATGGACCAGGCTTTTTTATAGGCTTTTTACTGTGTTTTTTTTTGTGAGTTGTATTTGTTGCTGCCTCTTGGCCTGCACTCCTTTGAAAAAGAGGATTTTAATCTCAATGGGGTTTTATCCTGGTAATATAAAGGTTAAATGAATAAAAATAAAAATAGTAGCCTGGCCAGCTGGTTTTTACTAGGCTAGTTTTATAACATCATCTCATCCGAATTGTTTTCACCTGTTCCATTGCGAATGCGCTCTTGAAGCTCCTGCAGTTTGGTGAAGTTCTGCAGCAGCACTGCCTCTGTGGTGTTGACATAGACATACATGTAGCAGGAAGGGCTCTCAGATATGGTGTACACTTTATGATAAGCCCCTGCAGGAACCTGGAAACACAAAAAAACAAAAATGAAATTTAGGAGAGTCATACCAATATTGCTTTGTAATTATTTAGCCAGTATTATTTATACAGGTTTTCGTCCTTTCTCTTCTATTGCTACTCTTTTGCTTTTTCCGCAGTCCACCTGCCTCCTTTATGACATTCCAGATTGCATTTCCACAGTTGGAAAACTTTCAGCAGCCTTGGAAGGTGAATTACTTAATGCATCAGCTGGAGATTCTGTTTGCAGAAACTTGCACAGCAGGTTTTTGCTTTCTTTGCTAAAATTAGCTTGTAAAAGGACAGACAGGCCTCACAAGCAGTCAGAAGAAGCTTTCTGAATTAGAACAACTTGCTCACATGAAAAAATATGACAGTTATTTTCTAATTAAGAGGAAAATAGTCATTTTACAACACCCTCATTAACAGCCATTTCCCCTTTTTGAACATGACACAGAGGATCCCTTTTGTAAATGAATGCTCTTATTTTATACTGAAGAATATGACTTTATCCTGCACCTTTTCCATTTCAAACATGTATCTATCAGTGCACAGCAGCTCAAATTTTTACTTGAGTTGAAAAATATTTTGATCAATCATGTATAACTAATCCTACAAAATGTTTAAATCTTAATTTAATTGACTATTAGTGTCTGAAAACATTGTATTCGTATTGATAAAACTCCTGATGGCGATGCTGTTTAGCTGTACCTTTATCTGGTCACCAGGCTGCAGAGTGTGGTTCTTCTTCTCCTCCACTATCTCAACATTCACCTGCCCTTGCAGCACATGGATGCTGGTGTTGCCCAGGTCTTCACTCACAAAGTTCTCCAAATGGAGACCTGATCGGTAACAAAAATGGTAGTTAGACAAGCAATACTTTACAACAAAAATCAGGGCAAAGAAGAGAGCTTCAACCTGGAAAATCTGCAATGAAGACGATCTCCGTCTGATTGTCCAGACTTCCCTCAATCTCCTGGAACTTGGTCCTCCAGGGTGAGAGGTCAACCAGCAGGGGCATCAGCCACGGGTTTGGTTTGAAAGGTGACCACTCTGCCTTCACGATGTCCACGCGAGGATCAAAGATCCTTACAGAGAAGAACATGACGAATTCAACCATCGCACTTTTTCCATCCAACATCTGACATCCAAATTTCCTCCTACCTTTGCTGGAAGCGCTCGTTGATCGACACCCAGATGTCAAAGTAGATTTCAGGATGAGAGATGTTGTAGCGGGGGAGCAACCCGCTGAGACAGGTGGCGTATTGCTTCAGCATGTCTCCATGATCTTTCCAGCGGCGACTCTGAGTGAACACCTGAAATACAGACGGGATTATTCCAGAAAGCTTTAAAACTCCCAATATTTAAGGATAAACCCGTAATTTAAAACATGATATTTAGGTTTACTATTTTTACTATTGTGACTGACCTGCAGATTTTAACATCTTACAGATAAACAAAATGTGCTCTGACTTCTCTAATAATTACTGTAGTTTGAGATCCAAGAAGAAGATACACATTTAAAGTTATATGAAACTCCTGAGCTGGGGCTAAGTTGTTATGATGCATAAATAGTGATAATAGAACCATTTGCCATTATGTATTACAAGTGTTCCTTCATTGCCCACTTTTAAAATTCTTCTTTAAACATTTTTTTAATTGTTGGCCTTTCTTCACTTCCAGTGTTTTATTTTATTGTTTATTCAATATTTATAGTAGTAAAGTGGTAATACAGTTGTTTTATTCAGATGCTTTGAACCAGATACACATGTAAACTTTGACACCTTTTCTCCTGCCTTTTTCAACAGTTTTATGAAGCAAAATAGTGGAAGTTATTAGTTTTAAACAACTTAGTGGATAGGGAAGTAATAGGGTTTTACAATATGGCTTGAAAACACAATTTCTGATGTTTTTTCATTCCCAATTTCTTTTTAAAATAATCTTGATTTCTTTTGTTGAAAAGAAATTACAAATGCCCTAAAAAAATTTCAAACACACGCTTTTGTTTCAGTCATTCTTTGACCTGAATTCAAAGTCCAAGTAAACAGAAGCTGTATAACACGCTTGTCAAACAAGACGGTAGGCAGCGGGTGAGTCGACGTCACTCTGAGTTACGGAAACCATTGGTAAATTGGTAAAAATTCAGATTTTTCAAAAAATTACATCTTCAGAAACTGATCAAATTAATTTATTTCCCAGTCATGTGCAGAAGTAAAAAATAAATAAGTATTTTTAGTAATTGGTTAAATTCAATGTGTAGTGAAATGATCGCCGCAAAAATAAGGAAAAGATTATTTTCCTCGCTCGCATGGTTTTGTTTTTCCTGGTATCTCACCCCTGGGTTCAGATATCCAATTTCCCCTGTCTTTCCATCTTTGTAGGTGATCTTCACGTGCTGATGGCTGCGGGAGTGGACCATCATGTCCCAGGAGTATCCATACAAACCATTAGTCCAGTTATTGTAACCCTGAGTCCAAAAAAAAAGAACATTAGGACCATTTTATATTACACATGCACTTTACATCACATGCATGAAAGCAAACACCCATGTTTTCAGCTTCAGAGACTGAATGATAAGGGCTCTCGTATTGCAAAGTTTTGACTATATGAGCTGCTGTTTATAGTGAAACAATGACTGTGTTTTACTATCAGGAGGGTTTGAAAGGCTTTTGTTCACTCGAAACGCAAGCTGTCCACTCAGAAATGGAAATAAAACAATCTAAGAAATGAATGCTAGACACTGAGAAGACATACCTGTGTGATGAAGTGTGAATAAGGCATGAAAAACTGCTCGGCTATGTAAAGAATAGTAAAAACAGCTCCCAGCTTGTGCTTAAATCGCATTTTGGAAGCTTTTCCAGGACTTTGTGTCCCTGGACGTTCGTTGCTGTGGATTTCAGGGTAAAGGCAGGAAGTGCTGGGCTGAATCTCCTCTGTGGTGAACGGCAGGACTCCGCTTAGCAAAGAGGGGAAGCGGGCAAAGACTCTCCTTGGCCAATCAGTGTAGCAGAAGAGAGGACTTGTTGCCAACATCGTGTAGGAGAACATCCCTGAACAGGGTTAAAAATACAGCTAAATACACATCAGTGGAGAAAACAAAGACTTTACCGAGTGAATGAAGCAGCACACTGACCGATGCTGAACAGCTGGGAGTTCATGCAGTGGAAATAAGACACAAAGAAAATCGCGACTGGCCGTGTGGCGTCAAAAAACAGCAAATATCCAGCGGTGAGATCCAGAATTAGACCGCCTCCGTGCACCACCAGCAGACTCACTAACTCCACAGGAAGAATCACTCTGAAAAACAAAAACAACGTTGGTACAGCTCAGTGACATCAATGACAAACACTGCCTCGCAAAAGCTTTTATACCTTGTTGGCATTTTCACATATTAAGTGAAAGCAGTGTTTGATCAGTGTCAATATAAAAAATATTGGAAAATATTTTCTGTCATCTGTAATTTCTTTTAAAAATAAGAGAGGAAGATTAAAAAAATAAATAAATATCAGAAATTGAATCTGGTATGAAAACAATTTGAGAATCTACTTTTAAGCCATATTGCCCAACTCTATCATGACAAAAACCGCTGCATATTTGATTATAAAATTATATAATTTATGTAGGACTTAGGCAAACATACTTGAAAGGATCAAAGAGCCAGTGGTGTGCCAGGTAAGACATGGAATATCCCTCCACCCAGTCTGCGTCCAATTTCTTCACTCCAGCAATGAAATATACAATAAAGATCTTTGAAAAACAAGATCACAGGTATCATTAAATCAGCTCAGATTGTCGCAATAATTTTTACATTAAAATTGCTAAATGATGACTGAAGCAAACCTGTGTCCTCAGTACGGTGTAATTCCACAGAGGAACATGAGCATTTCTTATGGAAGGTTTTCGTAATCCATCCAGCGACCTAAAAATACACATAAAAAAAAAAGAAAAAAAAAGACTGACATGGAGAAAAGGATGCAGATTAAGTCACAAGCAGTCTAATAAAGCTTCACCTCACCAGTATCTGTTGCCGTCCATGATGGCGAGTTGAAACCCAATGAGACCGTAGAGATACGAGTGATTGTTCCAGGCTGTTTTGTCCAGGAAGAAGATGTACCAGTACGTCGAGATGAACATGAGGCAGGAGAGACGGTAGAAACAGCCCAGCATGATGCCCAGTGCACCTTTAATTAAAAATAAACACACAGTTTAGTTAAATTTAAGGGGAACAAATTCAGGAAGTATTGGGAAGCTGCTACAAGCTGCAGAAATAGTAAATATAATGAGTATGTGTAAATAAGTTCTAAAATTATTTACACCTCACCTTAAAGTAAAAGTGTAGAAAAAGTAAGTACACTCTTTTAGTTTCCACAGGACTTAAGAGAGGACAGTCGCAGGTGGGCAGTGCTTATGAAATGCACTTAATGAATAAGAACTTTAGCAGATGAGACCTTTTTATGAAAAATTCAGGTATGCAAATAAAAAAACATAAAAGGAATGACCCTAGAGAAGCAATTTTTGCCACTCATCAATCTGGGAAGGAATCGTAGGCCATTTTCAAACAACTTGGAGTTAACTATTCCGTGGTGACAAATATTATTCAGATGTAAAAAACAATCAAGAGGTGCTGATTTCACAGAGATCTTCTAGTAGAAATCTGCTCAGACTGTAGTCTAACCTCTCTTAACAGTAAAGTACCCACCGAGGAACATCACCAGGTACACCACGTACATCCAATCCAGAGGGAGGGGCTCTAAGAAATTGAAAAGAGGAAATCGGCACACGGGGGCCCCATCTAGGTATTTGTAATCCAGGTGGCTGAGGCCCCTCTCCTGTGTGACGTCTATAGCCATAAGCAATCCTGGACAGAAAACAAGTCGTGAATACAATACGATTCTTTGTAACAAGTCGAAATTTAAACAGCAGACAGCACTGATTTATTCACCAAACATGCAGCGGAAGATGCCCAGAGATGCAGGGTCAGTGGGTCGGTTCAGAAGGGTCACCAGGTTCTCCCAGGAGCTCAGGTCCTCTTTCCTGAAGCCAAACATTTCCTCCATTCTGCTTTTAGTCTGTGGTTTCACCGCTTTAGGGGCTGCATCCTTCTTTGCAGATTTTTTCCCTCTGTCGGTGCCAACAAAAGCACCTATAAGTTGAATAAAGAAGCGTCAAGACGCAAAGTCATGGTTATTGTTAAAAGGCAAGTCTAAACAGTATCTGTAAGGACTCATTGTGCTCTCTCTGTTCAATCAAAACAACCTGCCAGGTTCGTGTTCAGGGCTATATTTACACAAACATAGCTGGTATTGAGGTCCCAACTTGTTAGGTGTTACTCTAACTGGTAATTAGAGTGAAAACAACAAACAGCTCTCTCTCTCTCTCTTTCTTTCTAGCTGTTTGACAGTCGGTGCTAACAGCAACCTCACCTGCAGTAGCGTCTCTCGCCTCCATGTTTTGTTTTGGTTTTTGTAAAATTCTGCGTTATTCTGGTTCGGGACTAGGCATGAGTCTTTTCTCTGCTCTCCCTGTCCCAGGTGGAGGTATCCTGCCAGAGGAATGTGGCGGACAAAGTTTACGTGTCACAGTACCACACACTCGGCGAAAGGAGCAGAAGAGGGGAGGAGAGAAGGAGGCGAACGTTGTGGGAAGGATTGGAATGTTGTGAAAAAGGTGCTTCCTGCTCATTGGCTGATTTCACTGCTAATCCCGCCCTGTTCTGCGTCACATCCTGAAAACTCCCCCAGCACATAAAGGTATTATTATTGGAACTCCAATGTTCAAACTTATGCCCAGTTCACACTACACGATTGTCGGGCCCGATTTTGCCCTTAGACAATCTTAGAACGTTCTGAGTTCCAAGATTGTCGCTTCCGACAATCGTAACCGATCATCCTGTAGTGTGTTACGACTGATCGGGTCCAGTCGGTGGAACGTGTTTAATAATCTTGGCTCATTCATCGCAATGTCTGTGGCGTTCCCCCGACTTGTTTTTTTTAAAATAAAAGATAATAGATAATGTATACAGCCATTGACTTAATGTCTCCACAAAATACATAACCACATAATTTTATTATTATGTGATCATAATAATAATATTATAGCAACAGTTATATTTTACTGAAATTATCTTACATGGAAAATATATACAAAATGCTATCTTTTACCTGCGAGTGGACGTGCCGTGTAGTCATGGTCCGCAGTAGCATCTTCAGCCTGGCTAGCTTTCTGAGAGGACAAACTGCCGTTTCTTAGCCCTCTCGAAAGCAGACTCTCTCATTGCCGGTTCAGTGAAGTTATTCCAGGCAAACAGGGAAGGAACAGCTCCACTTCTAAGGTGGCTGATGGTGGATCAGCTAACAAAATCCTCCGGTGTGAAGTGGCGGCTACATACGAAAGTGTTCCCCGTCTTTATGCAAAAGTCCGTACCTTCATCTCTTCGGATCGCCTGGATCCACTGCCTCCGTTGGTCCGGGTCCGTCGGGAACGCATGATATGACAGTAAGGCATGTGGGGTAAGGCTGTTTTCTTATCCCACATGAACAACCAGGGACTGAACAAAAACAACTGCGCCGAGACTGAGCCATTTTCCTAGCCTTTCAATGCTAACTCTATAGCCACCGGAAGTTGTCCAACCCCACATCCGCCCCAGCCCCGCGCATGCGCACATCCACCCCGGTCCCGCGCATGCGCACATCCGACCCGGCCCCGCGCATGCGCACATCCGACCCGGCCCCGCGCATGCGCACAACCGACCCGGCCCCGTGGGGTGCGGCGGGGGTATTGCACAGAGTGCATCTGGTTGAGAAGCGCATTTCAGTCTTTGGTTGAGATGGTGCATTTGATTCATTCTGCAATCATAATACAATAAGTTTCAATTAAAGGAGCTGGAATACGTTAAGCTTTCGTGGTCAGTTGGGGGGAAAAGGACAACTGCCATCTGATTTTCTAATAACGAATATGCAGGAAATGCTTCCTTCTACTTTAAGCTGCTCTGATGCTTGTCATTCCGTTATATGCATATATTCTACAACAACATAAACACAGCGAAAAATTATAAAATTATACGTAAACGCTAACGGTTAATTAAACAACCAAAGCGAAAACATTAAAAACAGCATTTTTTATGAAAAATGAAAAAAGCCTCAGTTTGTCTCCAGTTCTTAATCCAAAGCTTTGATTTTTGGTTACGTCTTTTTTGGGTTAACATAAGTCCGCAAACTAAAGTTACCACTTCAACGTTGTTGTCCATGTTTGTTCGTATCTGGAATTAGAATGTGTTCGAGTGAAACCTCACACTCTTTTAAATCGGCTAGTATGTGGTCTCTCTCTCTCACGTTTTCAGAATCGGCCGACTTTTCTAAAATCGTGTAGTGTGAACTGGGCTTTAGAGGGAAAATACTTTTATCTGTCTGAAAAGGACATTATTTTATTAGGGTAGGGCTAGGATTAGGGTTAATAATTTGCAATTATTATTCATTTATAAATAAAGAGAAAATATAGAATCCTTACTATTCTTCAATTAATTCTTAATATTATAATTTTTTTGTTTCCCTCATTTTTCTTTATTTTTAATTTTTAAAAACATCTCAGGGAATAGCAAAATACATTTAGTTTTGTCATTTACGTTTACTCTAGAAATCTAGAGATACATGCGTTGAAATCTAAAAATGATAATAATCAACTTCCATCAAGTGAAGCTGAATGTAAAATAATAAGTATATTAAGATTTGTCAGAAAACCCAGGACATATGCGGTACATGAAGACCCATTTAACATAAAGAAAATGGAAAAAACGAAAAACTAATAGTGAGTAATTTGAGAGAATTTAGTTTAGCAATATTTATTTATAATCACTATTTAGTTCAAGTATTATGCGTGTTTTATCTTATTTTTATTTTGGCTTTCTGTGTTTTCCACACTCCGGTCAATTGGTGGCGGTAATGCGCCATCATAGCTCATCTGCCAACTGCCGATATAATAAAAAATACAAAGAAGAAGAATAAGAAGGAGAAGAAGAAGAAAGCACATATTTTCAGTGTTAAAATATCTTTTTTCTCTGGTTTCGGATTCGTTGTGATTTATAAAAATGTGACCGGAGCCGTCTGAAACTTCGCCGTCTGGAGGCTTGTAGAGAGCAGAAGCCTAACAGAGAAATCTAAATCGCTGTCTCTGCTCTCATACTTGGTTTTGTTGGTGAATTTGGCAGCTAGGTTAGCTCTAAGGTTAGCTTCTCTCTGTATTGTCCCGTTGAGGGTTGACAGAGATTATCAACTGTCCAGAATAATTTCTCACCTTTCCCTCAGCTTTACGTCTTAACCGTTAGGTAAGTGAGACAGACTGGTTTTTAGCTGGTCACACTGCATGTCTGTGTTTGATTAATGAAATTTCACTCGGGAGTTTTGCTCCAACCTGTAATCTACCAAAGTAAATGATGTTTGTCCCTGTTCAGACAATCCATTTGTCAAATAATGTAATTTCCTTTAAAAGTGTGTTTGGTCACGATGAAACACAGATAGATGTGACAGTTTTGTGGTTTATTTATCCTTATAGATGATCTTTTATGGTTTTTAAATTGTTAGTACATGATCCTCAAAACCATTAGTTGAAATGTGAAATGACTATGATGTTTGTTTTAAGTTTGCCCACTGTGATTAACACAAAATGCAACAAGCCAACCTTGTTAGATTTTGTGTTGTTGATATTTACCAAATATGTGTCTCTGCTGTTTTCTGTTCCCAATTTTGGAAACTAAATGAGAGGAAATTAGTTTTTAATAATTTTCTACCACAAGCAGTGGCCAGGTAAAATAAATAGTGGAGAATTGTATCCAAGTATCTGGTTCATGTCCAAAACAACTTAAAATTTGTTGGAAGAAAAGAAAAGCTTCTACTTAAGAATTTAAACTATAATTATTTTAATTCTGATTACCGAAATGCACCAGAGTAACTGAGAATCACTGCAAACTCTCGATGGGAACAAATAAACCAACGTCCTTAAATGCCACATAGACAAAAATAAAACTTGTACACAGTATAGTACACAACCCAGAAATGACAGCTAGAAAGGAAGTAAAGGTCAAAAACAGAGTGCCTATCTGGTGATGATGGTTGAGAAGCAGGAGTGAAGACAATGCAGATTTATTGCAAGTGACGTTTTCGTCATGATGCTTAACAAATTGGTTAATGTGTGTAGAGATGGGAAACCTGAGCAGCAGGTTCCAGTCTCCCTCTCAGGGACCAGAGGAAGCAGCAGAGGGCGCGATCAGCAGCCGAAGACATGGCTGCGAGTGTAAGAAGAGGAAACGGAATGCTCAGTGTGACTGCGACAGCGAACAGGAGGAAGAAGACATACTAGACACACCTCGCAGGTAAGTCCACCCAAGGAATTTAATTCCCTGTCGATTCATCTCAATATTCTTGCCTCTGAAAATTTTGTCTGGTTTGCTTTTATTGGACAGGAAGAAATTGAAAAGCACCTCAAAGTACATTTATCAAACCTTGTTTCTAAATGGAGAAAATAGTGATATTCGTATCTGTGCTCTGGGGCAGGAGTGGAACCTCCATAAAGTGTACCTTTGTCAGGTAAGATAGATAATCCAGTTGTGCAAAAAGTACGGATACAAATTTTTAAAGTGCTTTTTACCTCACTGTGTCTTCATCGCCATTTTGCAGTCTGGATATTTCTCTAGCATGTTCAGTGGCTCTTGGAAGGAGTCCAACATGATGGAAATCAACTTGGAGATTCCCGACCAGAACATCGACGCTGAAGGTGAGTCATAGAAACCCAACAAATGTTTAAACTGTGTCTCACTCTTTCCTTACAGCTCTTTTACTGTCCTGTGTCTGTGCAGCTCTGCAAGTCGTCTTTGGATCTCTGTACCGGGATGATGTTCTGATCAAGCCCAGCCGGGTCATCAGCATTCTCGCTGCTGCGTGCATGCTACAGCTGGTCGGTACACACAACAAGCCCACTGCTGTTTCCTGGAACGTGAAATGAACAATATGATTTCTGTACGAATAGAAATATATATTTATTATACGTATATGTATAATATTTTCTTTCCATCCTGCCAGGATGGCTTGATCCAGCAGTGCGGTGAAACCATGAAGGAAAACATCAGCGCCAAGACTGTGTGTGGCTACTATGCTTGTGCCAGCATCTACGGCCTGGATTCAGTCATGAAGAAGTCAGATTTTATACGTATTGTAACAATGTTTGGACTTTATTAGTAGATATTTTTACTAATATGGCTGTCTATACGTTTATTCTTTCTTGCAGGTGCCTTGAATGGCTTCTGAACAATTTGATGACCCATCAAAATGTTGAGTTGATGAAAGAACTTGGGTATGCATTCTGTATGGAAAAAGAACATTTAGATTACAGCAACATTTGTATTTTTTTCAGACTTCATTCAGTTTCCCATTCTTTGAAGAATCCATCATCTGTCCACTGGTCTGACTGTCCAGTTGTCTGTCCATTCATTGTTAAGCTACTTGGCTATTCATTAATCCTGTTCAACCACATGATCAATTAAAATGAGCTGAATATTTTAAATTATAATTTTTTTAAAGTGCAATTCTGTTTACAGAAACATCATAATCCATTTATTTATGTTTTTTTGTCGTTTTATAATTTTGTTGTGTTTTATTTTGGGTGTTTAAAATCTGCCAGTTCCAGAGTTGTTTACAAAGTGAAAGTTTATTGGTCTTTGAGAGGGTCAACTTGTATTATTATGCCATTATTAATATATTACTTGAAAATAGAATAATATTGTTTATTGCAGTCTGTTCTGTGACAATTATCGTTCAGAAAAAATTTGTTATGTTGACAAGCACACTATTCATTCAACAGGACTTCTGTCTGTCCATGCATCCATCCATTTGTCCCTTCAACTCTTTCCTTCATTAGTTTGTTCACATGTCCATCTGCCTGTTTGCCCAGCCATTCTTTTGTCTGTACATATTTCCATCCAACCAATTGTTCTTTGTCCATCTACCTGTCTTTTTGTCCCTCTGATGCTTTGTCCTTCTCTTTCTAGATCTCTCCACCCATCTTTTCATCAGTATGTCCTTTCATACAAACGTATAAAGTTGTTGTTTTTTTTATCAGTTGAAAAGGCCAAAAATCTAGAAATTTGAGTTTGAAAAATTATGAAATTCCAGCATTAATTTCTGTAGGAACTCTGGATTAGTTTCAGTGATTTTTTTTTTTTCAATTTGGATAAATTGGATAAGATCTATATTTATTGTTCGTATTTTTCTGTTTTGTGAATATACAGGGCTGATGTGATGGAGCATCTCATTCAGTCCTCAGACCTATTCGTCATGCAGGTGGAGATGGATGTGTACACTGCTCTGAAGAAGGTAAAAGAGAAATGACCAAACACTGCATGCATATATTTTGCACTATTTAAATTTTCTTGGTGTTTCTGTAGTGGATGTTTCTGCAGCTGAACGCTTCATGGGACGGTCCAATCAAGCAGCTTCTGGCCGATGCCGACGCTTGGCTTTGCAAACGCAGGACAGGTGATTTCATGTCCTCAAACTGTGGCTGCACGTTACATTGCAGCTAACGTTCTTTCTTACAGAACACTTTCTTGTTTTGTTTTTTGTTGAACGGCGACGTACAGACCTGTGTGAAAAGGAGCCGTTCTTAAACACAGAGGACGGCGCGCTGTTTCGCTCCGTCTTCAGGCTCGTCCGTCTCCAGTACATCATCAACGATCTGGCATCTGCTCGCATCCTGGAGAGAGACAATATTCTGCCCCCTGGTAAAACCAACGCTTCATTGACATGTAATATTTAAATTATATTCAGACAACTTTAATTAATTACTTGTGTGCAATAATTCCTGCTGTAGAGTGGCTGACTGCGATGTACAAAAACCAGTGGTTTGCTATGCTCCGGACAGAATTTGACAACGATAACGGGTGAGAGCCTGAGAATAAACTGCTGTAATAAGTTGTTGAAAAGTAAAATGATGAAACAATAAAAATATTTCTTGTTGTTCTACTTGTGAAAAAAACACTGTTTGTACGTTTAGACCTCAGGAGCCCAACAAAGACGAGTTTGAGCTGAACAGCATGAGGTGTGGCAGGAAGCTGAGTAAAGATGGAGATGTGAGTTTCTATGATCATTTCTGTTTTACATAATTTATATGTTTTGTAATATCAGCACAGAGAAATGAAACAATTGTTTCTTTTGTCTCAGTACTGCTGGAGGTGGACGGGCTTCAACTTCGGGTTTGACCTATTAGTCACTTACACAAACCGCTTCATAGTCTTTAAAAGGAATACACTCAGTCAGCCATGTGGGGGCGCTGTGAGTCTACAACCACGGAGACATCTGGCTTACAGGTGAGGAATTCAGTGGGTTTGTTTCAATAAATTATCACCTTTGCCATAATTTTAATAAAAAATAAATGTAAATCTGTTTTGTATATAGGTATGATGTAACAAAATCCAGCTTTAAAGAAAGTAACCTCGTGTAGGATATGTGTTCTAGACTTTGAAACTATTTGATTTTGATGTGTTTTTGTCCAACGGCAAAAAAATTAATAAATAAATCCCTTTAAAACACTGCTGAACACAGATCTAAATTCTGTAATAAGTGAAATAGAGATATATTTAAACACAAGAAAGTAAATGTAAATGCAAATGTCTAGAATGTTCTAAAACAATTTTTGGAAAAACAAATGTTTTAGAACAAAATTCAGGAATTTGAAGTCTGGAAATCTTCTTAGCAACAACACAGTTTACTAAAACGTCATATTTGGACAACATTTACCTTTTACCTGCTTTCACAGGCATAAATGTAACATTTCTTTTTCATTATTGGCGAAGGTTACGTCTCGCCTCCTTTGACAGCCGAGGGAAGCTGGTCTGCAGTCGCTCTACGGGTTACCAGCTCCTCACCCTGGAGAAAGACCAGGTCAGTGAGCTCTGCCAGGCTAGAAACGTTACCAGCCGACACTGAAAAAGCCCCTCTAATAATCGTCCTTTCCACTGGATCCTGCAGGAATACGTGGTGATGAACCTGGACAGCCGGTTGCTGTCGTTCCCGCTGTATGTGTGCTGTAACTTCCTGTATACCTCGCCTCATTCAGACCACCGTCCAGATTCCTCGGAGCCAGAAAGCGCCGCTCGCGCTGCGTCTTGATAGCTTCTAATGTCCACTAGCTGCTTGTCTGCATCGCCCAACATGAAGACTAACCAAACACCTCTTGAACACAATGGCTGCATGCTTGGGGCGAAGTTTGGGGGCATTTCACATCCATATGGGCAGTTTTTGGTACATTTTGGCACCAAGCTGTTCTCAGTGAGGCCCACCATCTTCTGTTGCCATGCATTCATCTTACTAAAGTGGAAGGGAATAGGGAAAATCTGCTATTCAGGTTGGGTTTAGGAACTTCAAAGCTTCAAGATGGGATGATCTGCTGGAGGAGGTTTTTTCTTTTTAGTTCTGCTTATTAACTTTTTTTTAATTAAAAAGTTGATATTGGAGCACTATCAAATAAAAAAAGTGAGCTCAACAACACAGGTTTAAATGGATTCATCATATGTCAGACCAACTCACTCTCATCTAAAAACGGTCCAAATTCACTAATGTTTGGTATCAAAATATAGATATATACTTGTAAATTTAAAAGATAATATCTGCCTCATGTGGACTTGTACATATAAAAATAATGAGGAAAAAAAGGTTGGCATGCTGTAGAAGGAGAATGTCTAGTTTGACATGTTTTTACACTTGTGGTTGCGTGTTTGTTCAATTCTACAACGGAGCAGCTTCTCAGAACTTGTTTTTTAATCTTCACCTCATATTGAGTGAAGCAGCGTCGTAAAGTCAAACCAGGCTCTTCTGCCTGCTGGATTGTTCACATATGTTTCCACCGGTTTCCTGCAGTGTTATTTTCCATCACTGATGTTCAGTTGGACTCCTGATCGTTATTTATGAGGGAAGATGTTTGAATTACTTGAGTTAGAGCTTTGTTCTGCACTCATAGCAAACACAAAGTAGCTTAGTAGTTGCCAAAATCTGCACAGCTACCTCTTAAGTTTGCTCTCATTCTGTGGATTTATTCACTGTCTATTTGGATATGTTTAGAAAAGCTGGGGGATTTTTCAATTGTAAATCAGATGTATTTTTAACATTTCTGGACGTCCAACAAATTTGTTTGTACAGCCGTTATGTATAAATTTGGACTTTTTTTATTTGGGTTTTTATTTTTTTAACTTTTTATTTTTGTGGATGTTTTATGTTTGCAAAAAGATATATTTCTCTTTCCTGCCAATAAAACTGCCCTTCCATACGGGCCGTGGTGCTATCATACAATCCGATCTTTTATTACCGTTTTATTACAGGTGCACAAATGTGTACCTGTAATAAAACAAAGCAAAGAAGTTATTTTAAAAAAATGGGGTGATTTGTCTTGTCCTTATTGTTTCCAGTAAAAGTTTAGACTTCCTGTTGTTCCTCCTGTTGTTCCTCAAGTTCCTCTGTCCAACTTTTTTTTTTATCAGGTTGTGTTTGAATCATTAAAATATTCAAAGCAACAGTCATCCCGATGAAACAAATTAAATGCAAACTGCATTGAAAGAAAATTAAATGTCACTTATTTTCTGTCTTCTTTTGAAATTAGCTGCTCTTTAGATTTTTATCAATTCTGTTAAAAGTATTATGAAGTGGGGAAACATGCATTCTCTCTCAAAGAAAGGAAATGTTGTGTGCTCTTAACTTTCATCAGTTTGTGAGCCAGTATGAAGTTGACAAATCTGAATCATTCCATATTACTATAAAAGCACTGAAATCACCTTCCTTAAACAGTTAAAAAATAATACACTTGAGTTTAATTTAAATCAAAACAAGTTTTAACTCTAATCTGAGTGAGTGCTGAGAAACACTGCAACCAAAGAAGAAAATATCTGGATACCTATTTTTGTAATTTACCTGTTGCAACATTTTAAATTACCCAAAAGAGTAATTTGTATCACTCAAAAAAATGTGGTAATATGGACCAACACCACCCTGTAGAGACAAGCAGGTGTTGGAGTTATCTGTTATTTGACCTCTAGGGGGCAGTGCAGCCACGTACAGCGATTTGAACTATTAGTCCAAGCTGTTGTACGATTGAGTCTTTAAGTCACTTGGTGAAAAATAAGATTTCTTTCCTTTTGTAAGATTAAATGAGAAAAAAATCTAAATAATGGGGAAAAAATGGAAAAGTAAAACAATAAAGCTGAAATGTCAACAAAGTATAGACAGTATATATATATATATATAAAAAATAAAATACATCAAGAATAAAGAGGAGTGACACTTGGACAAAGACCTGCGTCAGTCATGCTTTTGTAAATAACCAAGTGGCTTAGAAAACGATTTATTAAGAAAATTTGTTTCAGTGTATAAATATTGTGCTCAGCTAGAAGAGGCATATCAGACCTACTTGGAAGCAGCACTTCTGAAACTTATTATTTTCACTTTGAATTCAATATTTTGACTAATGATAGAATTTTTAAAGTTTTTTTTTCACCATTTCAACTTATTTCCTCAAAGTGGCTTTAAATCATCACTTTTTATTTAGGTGAGTGATTATAGCTGTTGAATGAACTGTCATTTCCATCAGCTTTTCAAATTATATTATCAGTCAATAACTGCTGAATTGTGCTCAGTTTAATTCCATCACCACCAACCTCATCCATTCTGTAAATTTACACTAAAATAAGGTGAATGCAGATCAAACTGGTAGCAAAATTAAACATGTTCTACATTTGATTTAACATATTTGTAGGTTTTTGCAGTAACTTTAGGTGTTTGACAATTTTCCTACGTTCTCCTATTCGGTTTCCTCACAGTTAGTTTTCTCAAGCCAAATTTTCCATAAAAAATGTTTCAATTGTTTTAAAAAGCAACATAAAACCACTTATAACCTTGATTGTTATTTTATTTCACACAAATAAACAACAGTGGAAGCAGACACCATCACAAGAAACTGGAGAACTAATTGAGACAAAACAAAACAGTGCGAGTAGCAGGACCAGGAAGAGCTGTGTATAAAATCCGTCATGAGATGCACACGAGGGAACATTGCTCTGTTTAAAATAAAAGTCAGATCTGTTTCAAATAAATCTATCGTCACTCCACTGCATGGTGACATGACAATGGATTTCTGAATTTACTTAAATCACTAGCTTTAAGCTATAGTAACAAATCTCACAATAACTATCAAAGTCTTTGAACTGCTCTTTTGTGGTTGTCCTGAAATCCTCAGGTCACTAACGTGGCGTCTACCAAGTCCAGACTACTTGCTCTTCACTGCGGTATAGAGTCCAGGTTCTCCTTGAGCCTCCGGGTCATGCTAGGGACCAGGTTAATGTGGTCGTCCACACAGCTGCCCACACAGCGGTCCATGAGCGATCGGACGGCCGGCTCCTTCGATCCGGAGTCGAACAGATCCTTCGCCTTGTCGTTGCAGTGCATCGTGCATCTGGTCAGACGGTCCTGAGGAAAGCAGAACAGAAGAAACTGACTGTCACAAATTAACAGAAGCAAAGAACAAACTAAAGGTTCATATTGAAAAGGCAGATTCAATTAAATATGTACAAAAAAAAGAAAAGGCATTTTTAGATGCTACTCGTTTATTTATATTGTGAACAATTTCTAAAGAATAATTCAAATAGTCATTCTTCTCCCTGTAACATTTATTCCTATAGGAAATATTAAAGATAATTAATTAACTACGTTCTGAAAAAACACCTAGAGGAAATCTGCTTATCGAAAGATTTCCTAAAGTCACTTTAATATGAAGCGACAAATTTCTAATTGCATAAAATAGGGCTGATTTGAACTGGAATTCAGGTTTTATATTCAGACAATTAGATTAAAATGAAATCTTTATATTTCATTCTAGCATTATTTACGACATGTAGCTTGTGGGCGATTTTCATTCTGTTGTCACATATGGCTGAACAGTAAATTCTGACTAATTTTTCAAAGCCTGGAAATAAGAGTTGCAAAAGAACTGTTTGGATGCGATGTTTGGTAGATTAATATGTTTCAAGAAATATGAATACGTCTCCGTAATGTATTTGATCAGGATGAACCCTCCCTGCATCTGGTGACTAAACCTTACATATTCATTAGGAGTATTGAGAACATGATGATAAAAAAAAAGGAGAGAAGTGAGTAAAATGTGGCTTTACTCCCACAGATAACATGAAAATGTTAAACAATTATATTCAACTGAATGCATGACATATACAGTATTGTGCAGTGTTAATGGAAATTAATATAGCACCTTAAACACAAACACAAAAAAAGTTACTTTTTATTGAAACTGATAGTTTCTATTGTATATTTTGCTGAAACATTTATAAATTTTATAGAAATAAACTTGGTAATACTACAACATTTATGTTATAGCTGGTTCACAAAGAAAATATGTAAGATTTATTGCAAGTAAAACAGTGTTTTTAACACATTTATGTGTCTTACTGCTGTATATTTTTGATGCCATGCAAGATAATGGAAGCAGAGTGTTTGAGGTGCTGCTTTATAAAACATGCACAGGTGTATTTCTTTTGTTATTATTAACCAACCAGAAGCTCAAAAACAAATATCTTAAAACCAAAGTAACTTTAATGTGTGTAAACTTTGTATTTTGAGAAAAATAATCTGGCATTTTTAAACAGTATTATTTTGATTGATCTAAGGTGACCTAAACAGGGGCAGTTTAATCTGATTTAATATCAGACAGTGAAGGGGGGAAAAAAGCTGCATGTATTTTTATGCAGATGATATAAATATCTGGTATGTGCTACAGATCTCAGGAGGTTTCTCCTGCAGTCCCCTGAGCTACTACTATCAGAAAATATTACTTTATCCCTCCAAAAGTGACCGGATGTTCCTATATAAACCTGTGTCTGTGGTAGAAGGCTGAAGGTATTTATTGTACTGGGGCTGCAGGTCCTCACCTGAAACTTCTCCAGCTCTGAGGTGACCACCCCCTGCGCCTGGGCCAAAGGAGTGTGACACCTCTCGATACACTGATGCACCTGAGTCATGGAGTCAGAGGATCTGCCGCAGCAGTCTGCGCTGCATTTGAACATGCGTCCCTGCAGCACAAAACAGCAGCCTGTCAGGGACGACGTATTGGTAAACAAAGCGCCACGCTGGTGTGAGAAAGATCACTAACCTGCATGATGCGGATGTGGTCCCTCTCCAGAGATTGGACCATTTCTTCCACCACCTTCTGCACGCGTGTCTGGTGTGCCTCTGCCATCTCTGGAGGCCTTTCTGCTCCTTTAAAGAAAACACTCAGAACAAGTTTCTCATTCAACCGAGACCGGAAGTCCAACTGCGCCGCACAACTTTCTTCACAATTTGGTAACAACTAAGGTCACCTCCATTCAAGCATGGTCCAAGATTAGAGATGATTGGGTCATTTCCGACTTTCTTCCGTTTCTTCGATGGAGAGTGACAACTTCCGCTAATTTCCTCCAGCCTTTCAAAGTAAAAGCCAACACGCTGTCCATAGCGCTAGGCAACCGTTTCCCCCCCTTTTAGCTATTTTTACTCTAAAATAAAACTCACTTAAAGTCACAAATGCCTCACTGCTTTTTGAAAAAAGGCAACTTATAATTTTAGCTAAAGGCCTGCTGTTGGAAATGTATCGTCTTTTTCAAAGAACCACTATTTTATTTCTATGTTTAGAATGTAAAATAAAAATAAATATAAAATTGAACAAAAAGAGGATAGATATATTTTCCTTTGAAAGTTATGTGAACAATTAAAAAAGCATATAGAGTCCAACATAATGAGAAGCGTAAAAACATATTACCGGTGCTTTTTGTGTCATTCTTATAATTTTTTTAATATTAGGTGGCTGTTTTAATTTTTATTAACCAACCAGACCAGAACCTTAAACACAAACACAAAAAAGTGGCTTTTTATTGAAACTGATAGTTTCTATTGTATCTTTTGCTGCAACATTTATAAATTGTCAATGACTTGTCAAGTCATTGACAATCTATTGTGGAGCATCCACAATAGTGCTGGAAGTGGCGTTTTCAATAATATAAAAAAAAAAATCCAATTTACTGATCACTAGTATGGTTCAAACAATAAAAAAATGTTTTCAGCTTAATTTGTTTAAACTATTTTTTTTCACAATGCAACGCTATGTGGTTGTGGGTGGTCCTCTAGGATTTATGGTCATAATCCATTTTATTTAGTTGGTCAGCGTTTACGCGTTAAGATGTATTTTATTGTGAAATTCAAGTTCGAACAGGGAAGTTGAGAGACGTTCACGATTCCCCGTAGAGACTCAACCTAGTTCGTTATTTAACTTTCTAGTTTTACATTTACCTTCATACCTAGTTGATTTCTGTTTTCCAAATAGTCAGAGAAGATTTCTGCGCTTTTTACTGTCTTTTCTTAACTCTGCCAACGTTTTTTTTTTAACCAACCTCTCTGTGGTGATATTTGAAATTGTGAGTACCATTGAACATGGCTGAAGAAAGATAGCACTGCGCTTTCCGCCGCATGGTTTGGCAGCGCTAAGCTGAAATCACAGTGATTCGCTCTGCTGTTCAATAAACGGAGAGCGGCGTGTGAACTTTGACCCCCAGGGGGACTTATCAGCGGTTCCAGTTTCTTCTTCGTGCACTGATGTTCCTGGGCGCAGAACAGTAGACAACGGCCACAATGACGTTACGCACGTTTCCACTGCGGACCCTGCTGTTCCTGGGGCTTTGGCAGTCTGGGAGGAGAAGTTTGGCCTCAGCTCCGGAGCAGCCAAAGAAAATAGGCAAGTCCAAGTTACTTCATGCCATAAACATTAAGGAGTCACCGTGCTGGTTCTTCTTATCACATTCAGGTCCAGTGTTGCGTTCAGTGGGATGGGTTATGTGCAGGATATCTGCATTTGGTCGCTGTGAACTCACAAAGCTTGGGGAAAAATTACAAATCGTTTGAAACTTGTTCTTTGGTCACAGACTAATTTTTTTTTCTGAATCTATTTAAATTAACTCCATTCTATGAAGCAAAATTGAATGCATTAATATTAGAAACTATATTTACATAAATTCTAGTAAAAAATGCTTACCTCGCTTTTCTAAAGTGATTTCTGTGTGCTAAATGACACACTATGGGAGATTTATTGTTTCATAAGATGTACTTTGTTTTGTTGTATTTTCTTCAAATTTAAAAGCTTCATGTCTTTAGCATTTGGTAGTATTATGTTTTTAAACTATGATTCGAAGCAGGGTGTCCACAGTGTGGCCTGGCAGGTATTTGCAGCCCTTTGGATCGTTTTGTTATGCTTCTTACCCACAATTTGAAAATTGAACGAATTTGTCTTGAAGCACAGGTGCTTTGAGATCAACACTCTTTTTAACGTGAGATTTTTTTACAAAGTCGTCTTAATATATATATATATTTTGTCTTTTATTAACCGTGTTGCTGCTTTCTTGGGTTAAATTTGGATAAATGCTGCAAACCCTAAACCAGGGGTGTCAAAACTCCAGTCCTCGAGGGCCACTGTCCTGCAATTCTTAGATGAGCCACAGGTACAAAAACGCTGGAATGAAATGGCTTAATTACCTCCTCCTTGTGTAGATCAGTTCTCCAGAGCCTTGCTAATGACCTAATTATTGTATTCAGGTGTGGTGCAGCAGAGGCACATCTAAAGGTTGCAGGACACCTTGAGGACTGGATGTTTGACACCCCATGCCCTTGTTCCCCAGTGTAAAAACAAACAAACAAAACCCAAGAAATGTGGGGGTGCAGTCCACATTTTGGCACACGTTGTGCTTTACTTTTCTGTCTCTGCTCCTTTTCCAGCTGTGATCGGCGCAGGGATCGGCGGCTCAGCCGCAGCCTATTACCTGAGGGAGGAGTTTGGACCCGTTGTCAAGATCGATGTGTTTGAGTCGGGGGTAGTTGGAGGGCGCCTGGCAACGGTGAAGATGGGGGATTATGAGTATGAGACGGGAGGCTCCGTGATCCACCCGCTGAACCTACACATGAAGCAGTTCATTGAAAAAATTGGTAACCTCGACACAATCACGGCTTATTTGACAAAGCAACAGATTAATATTCTGAACTCGATGCCTCGTGGTCAACAGGTATTCCCCAGAGGAAAGACGTCCCCTCTAAAATGGCGATCTTCGATGGGAAAGAGCTGGTGTTTGAAGAGAGCGACTGGTTCATTGTTAACATCTTCAGGATGCTCTGGCGCTACGGATTCAGTTTCGTCCGCATGCATATGTGGGTGGAGAGCATCCTGGACAAATTTATGAGGTGAGAAATTAGACTTCACAGATTTTAGTTGCAATGCTGCAATATGAGCTCAAAAGTGTAGCGGGTGCCCTAATCCTCCTGTACATCCTGATGTTGACAGAATCTACCAGTATCAGCAGTACGGATACTCGTTCTCTACTGTGGAGAAGCTCTTGCACGCCATGGGAGGCGATGACTTCCTCACCCTGATGAATCAAACTCTAGAGGAAGCCATGATGGGGAATGGATTTTCACAGGCCTTCATCAACGATATTGTTGCACCCATAACACGTGTAAACTACGGCCAAAGCGTCCGCATCAATGGCTTTGTGGGTATGTGTCTTCACCAGAATACTCAGGCCTCTTACATTTTTGTCACATTACAGCCACAACTTGCCTGTAAAGTGAGTATTTTGGGGGAATTTTAGGACCCAGATTAATTAAAAAGTAGTGCATAATAGAGAAGTTGAAGGAAAATTATGCATGTTTAGTTTTGATCAAATCTCCTTCTTCCAAATTTTCTCTTTTTGTAGTGGCTACTTAAGATTGTAAAAGAAATATGACAAAGAAAATCCATTATATTCCATAAAAACAATATGGCACTTATTCTCAAGTTGGAAGTATAAAAAATGTTTTTTAACGTGTGAAAACATTTCATATCAACTGTTTCTGAAGTTTCAAGTTTGAAAAGACTTTTAAAAATATATATAAAAGAGATATTTCTAATATATTTTTAGAATTTTTTTTTACATCATTACTCTTCTTGAAAGATCCTGAAAATTGTAAAACGACCAAAATACTGAATTTCTTTAAATCTGGACTAAGAATCTAATTGTTTAGAGTTGCTTTTGTACCACAATAAATGAAACACTAGCCAACATTTGGTGTGTAATGTTGGCAATTGAAAAAAAAATAGTTTCAATTGTTAATTTCTTGTTTTTATGATGTAAAGCACTTTAAACTTGCGGAAATGTGCTACACAAATAAAATTTGATGGATTGATAAACAAGTGCAAGTGAGAAAAGTAGATATTAAACAAAAGCAGAGAGCAAAATCAGGGGTCAGTAAGTATTTCAAACCGTCAGCAGTTTTACAATAATATCAGGTTTACTTTGGGTCCATTCCTCCAGAGAGAATTTAACATGGAAGTGTTGCGTTTCAGGAGCGGTGTCGTTAGCTGGGGCGGACTCAGGCCTGTGGGCAGTGGATGGTGGCAATAAGAGAGTGTGCTCTGGACTCCTTTACCACAGCAAAAGTGATCTCATCCCTGCTAAAGTCGGCTCCATTTCAGTGAAGACCCGACCGTCAAAGAGAGGTAATCTCCATGTTGCTTCATTTAACATAAAACCGTCTTCATTTCATTTTCCCTCCTTTACCAAGTCCCCTCTCTGCTCTCTATTTTCAGGAAGCACCGTCCCTTACTATGAGGTCAACTACGTCGGAGAATCCGGCTCAGCGCACTCTCTGTACGACATCGTGGTCATAGCAACGCCGCTGCATCAGGGAAAGTCTGACATCACGTTCTCGGGGTTCTCCCCTCCCATCCCAACTCACTACCCGGGTCTCTACCACCAGACGGTGGCCACCCTGGTGCACGGCACCCTGAACGTGTCCTACCTGGGGACTGCTGAGGCCGCCTCCGACTTCACCGTGTCCGAAATCCTCACGACTGACTCCAAGGGCTGTGCCATCAACAGCCTCAGCTCTCTGGACCCCGTGCACATCCCCGACGGCTACGAGCGACCCCCGGCGAGCCGCCCTAAAGTCTGGAAGGTGTTCTCCTCGGAATCGCTGACTCCGGAGCAGCTGCAGCGAATGTTTCTGTCCTACGACTCCGTGTCCGAGACCCCGTGGCTCGCCTACCCGTCTTACCGTCCGCCGCACCGGAAGACGCCGCCCTTCATTCTGCACAACCGTCTATACTACCTCAACGCAGTGGAGTGGGCGGCCAGCGCCATGGAAATGAGCGCCATCTCGGCCCGGAACGTGGCCCTGCTGGCTCATCACCGCTGGCACGAGCAGAACAGCAAGATCGACCAGGAGGACCTGCACACGCGACTCAGAGGAGAACTCTGAAAAATCAAATCAGGATAAATAACCAAACCTGTGATTTCAACCACAGGTTTGGTTTACAGATTACATGATCATGAAAAAAATATTTTTTCTTCATTAAAAAAAACACTTTCAACCATGCAACAGTTTATTTTTCTCTTTTTTTTGTTTACCTGGACAGAATTAGACAATATAAAAATTGTTCTAACATTTAAGCAAGATGCACTAAATGGTAGATCCTGAAGCTTCCCTCTTTCCCTTTGAGTCTTTGTCTGCATTCCACATGTCGTAAACCTAATTCAACATTTCAAGTTTGTCGTTATGGGTTTTTAGCTACATCTTTTTCCTGACTGGAAGATTTTTCTGATGGGTTTACTCGTCTTCCGTTAAGTCTCTACCTCCTCAACAAAGTGCTGCTGGCAAGTTCAGGCATCAAGCACCAAAGGTTGATAACATTTGGAGACTCCAGTGCCACCTATTTCAAGACAAACTGCAAAAATAATAGCTTTAGAAATTTGATTGTGCCTTAATGAAATCGGAGTTGGAGTAGTAAACATTTTGGAAATGATCTTCTGGTCCTTTTTGAGATTTTGTCTGAAAAGCCCAAGCACAGGACCAACTTGCTTTTTGTGCTTAATGTTTCTTTTTTTCTTAATTTCTTAAATAATAAGGATGGTTTAAATTTTGTGACTTATAGTCAGAACTCATGTTGGGAAAAGATACTTGACTTGTCATCTACTTCCAGGTTCTTTTGTACTTTTGGACAGAAATTGTAGTGGGGGGGGGGGAGAAATCTCTCCTTAGGCACTTTTAGATGATTTTCTCTCTGGAGTTTTACAGAAAGTGGCACTTTGACTAGGTTTCAGTTTTACACACTGTTTTCCAAATAAATTTCATGTTAAACCACACTGAAAAGTCCCAAACGGTACTGTAGATTTTGAAATGCGATTACAATCATAATAAATTAATGAGACCTTTTCTGCTTTGTGTTCTGATTCTTGTTTTTCTGCAAACCTTCTGGACAAACTTTAATCTCTGAGCTAAAGAAATATGAAATGGTTTCTATGCGCATTCTTGAATAGTAAAGTAGAAAGAAGAAATAATACAAAACCAGATACAACAAAAAAATTCAACCATTGGGATAAAAATCAAGGTTGGGATTTTATCCTGGGAACATATTTTTCAGACAAAAATCTTTGTGTTTTGATGTTCATCACCACAGTTTATTAAATGAATCCACTGACAGAGCTAACTCTGCCACTAATCTTTCTAAGACAAGGTTTTCCTGAGAATCCGTCATGTGGGCTATTGCTATTACAATTTTAATTTATTTTTATGCAAACTAAATTTGAGGTATTGTAATAAATCAATTTGAACTGAAACTAGACCAAATTCAATTCATTCTGATTTCCCATTTGAACCCATTTCTCTCAGGCAGTTCCTTTCATATTTGTTGCAAATTAAATGGAGATAAATGTAAATGATCTAATTTTAAAATGAGATAAAAATAAGAGGTCTGGAAAATGGACAAAATAAACGCTCAACTGCTATGGATGAAAAGATCCCTAAAAACTAACGTTAGGATGTAAATTTCTCTTTCATAAATTAACTCTTTAAAATCAACCCACTTTTTATAGAAAAAAATAGAAAGGATATTTCTGTTTTACCAGAGACTACTAAAGTTGGGCTGAAACAAATATGGAAGAAAAAAAAATCAAATTTTTAAACAAAATCTTAAATTATTGATAGAACCGATAATGAAGGGAAGCAAAACAATATGGCGGTCCATTTTTTGTCTTCAAAGCTCAAGCTCTGTGACAGGTATTAGAGTCTTAAATCCATAACATGGGCTTATCAATTTTATTACAATTTCAATGTTGAAAATAAACCTTTTATCCCAATAATAATATCTCCATCTCTGATACTCTGTTGGATAAATTGGGGAATTGTTGCATCGACAAACATTGTGACCCATCCTTCATGAGCCAAGTGTGTTCTGTGAAGTCACAGTTTCCATTTGACAAAGCCAACAAGCTTTGTTTTCAGCCTTTATAACATGGAGTTCCTTTGTTTTCCTGTTCATCTCACTTCCCAAATAAAGCCCCATGTGACCCTGGGAGCCAACAATGGCTGGCTTTGACAAAGGGAATAAGGACACGTCTGTTTGGTGACAGAAGCTGCCCTCTCAGGTAGGGAAGGACAATGGTACCAGAGCCGCCTGTGAATGCAAAACATGTGATGTGACTGAAGATTTATATAAGGGCCCCAAACAGGGCAGTTTAGATATTCTGAATCCTGCACAAACTGGACCAGCAGCCAACATGAGATTTCTGGTGCCGCTTTATGTCGTCCTTGCTGTGGCAGCGTTTCACTCTGGTGAGAGTCAGAGATATTGAAAAACAAAAAAAGACCCCTCCAAAAACAGTTAACGTTAGATGTCTGGTCTTTTTTCTTTCTTTTTTTTAAAGTAAAATCAAAAGTTGAGGATTACTAAACTTCATTGAAGTTAGCTTTCTAGATTCTTTTTAGATGCACAATCAGGCTTTTCTTTGCTGATTTCCAACTTTACATTATGTGTCTTAAACTTGAATATGTGATACAAATATCTGATATTTGTATCACATATTTTGCAGCTTCTTTGATGAAGGTGATTTGCATCCAGTGGACAGTAAAGAAATGACAGACTTATTCAAAAGTGCTTCAAACATTATGCTGTTGGGTCTTTCCTTTCCAAACTGAAACTTGCAGTAGTTCTTAGATTTGATGCATGAACTGTGTCTCAGAAATTACATTTTTGGGTTTTGCTAAAAATTATTTTTCATCATTTTACATATTTATCATTGCTTCTAGCCCTCTCAGCATCTCTGGAGTCAGCAGAGAAAGAGGAAGAAGTTACTCAGTATGGTGAGTAGAAGTTGATTCATTAAAACAGGAATGATGGACCATGTCACAAGCTGACAGAAATGCCTTAACCACGCTTTTTCTGTGCAGACGGGCTGACTCAGCTGCAGAAAATAGGTAATATACCAACTGCTTTTTTTCGTTTTTCAGAATAATAATTTTGATAGATTTCAAAAATATGGGCTCACCCCAAAATGATTAAGTGATAAATCTGAATCTAATCTTGGTATTTTTAGTGTCTCTGTCAGAATGTCGATATTTCCCGTCTTTTCTTACTTGCATGGTTTCGTTTTCTCAGACCAGATGGAGTTTGAAGCTGCTCAAAAAGCTGAAGCAGGGCGGATGAACAGTAAGTTCAAATCGGACAATAAAATGGTTTAAAAGAAAGCAGGTATGTAAAAAAAAATTTGTTTTGTTTTGTTTTTTCAAGTTACAGAGGAGCAGAGTGAAGATAGCCGCTTCCTTGGTAAGAATAAAACAAGAAATCATGTTTTCCCACAAATGAGTCCGGCTGATTATTTGGTAAAAGCAGCTTTTTAACTTCACAGAGGCTGATAAAGATGGATCTGGTGAGTTCTAGTCCTTTACATGATAATTCATGTTCCCCCACATGAAGCTAAAGTTTCCTTTATAAATGTTTTAACAGTAGAGGAACATGTTGAAGATGAAGCTGAAGATGAAAGCAAAGGTTTGTCAGTAACATGTTACAATGTTTTACAGATTTTATAGGTTACCATGGAAATACACGTTTTTTGTATTTTTTTGTATCAGTATCAACTTTTGTCCTGACAATACTTAACAATTTTTAATTGCATCAATTTTTACCGACTTAGTTTTTCCTCCCACCTTCTTATATTTGCACGTTAGATTTTTACAAATCCCAGAGAGTCAAAACTGACCAACATCAATCGATTCTGATCATTTTTGAAACTCACAAAAATAATCACTTGAAGATTGGTTTGCATATTTAGAGATTTGGGTAAGCAAATATCAAAAAAGAAAAAAAAAAGTGGAATTTGCAGTTAGCAGCCAAAGTTACACAAAAGTGACATTTATAAAATAAACAAAAAACAAGCAAAAAGTGTTAAGGGATCCAGGAGGCTTGGCCGTGTTTAATATTGTCTAACTATACCACTGTTTCCCTGCAGAGGGCGCAGCAGAGTCCAATGGTGCCGCAGAGGAAGGTGACGCAGGTTTGTAGTTCAGCCTGTAGGTGGCAGTAAAACACAACTTGAAAAAGTTGTGTTTTGGTGAAAGTGCGTCAAGTCTAAATGGCTGCATTTATGAACCTTTTTCTACCCAGAGTCAGAGTCAGAGTCAGAGTCCTCTGAGGACACAAATAGTGAGTGTGAAAAAAATAAATAAAAACAATTCAAGGGTTAATTTATGCTCTCCTGATAATGCTTATGTTTATGACTGTTTGTTTTGTTGTTGTTTTTTTATCAGAAAGGCAAAGGAGAGGTGAGGTTTTTTGTGCTGTTATTGTTCTTTTCAAAATTAATGAATTTGTTGTAAGAATAATACGTCTAACAAATAAAAATCTTTTTCTAGAATACCCAGAGACATCGACACTGAACTGTGTGGTACGTGAAAACACAGACAATCCCTTCTGAGACCCACTACCTGCTTTAAAAACAGTTTTTTTCTCTTTCCCTTTGCAGCTGAAGGAAACACCCAAGACCGAGGTGAAAAACTTAAGTAACAATTTAATGTAATATTGCACAAATGCGGCACAGGTATTTATAACTGCCCAGATTCAGACAGTAAAAGCTCAGATCAGAAATAGTGTTTAACATTCTTTGAGGCCGACTCAAAACTACCTGCAGAGGTGAGATGTGGTGAAATGTTTGGAGTTTAAATTGTGGGTTATGCAATAAACCAGACGGAGAAAAACAGAGCCTGGTCACAACCAGTCTGGGCTCGACTTTTTATAACAGTGTCACAAACTTTTAATGTGGAAGAAAGTCTGCAATAAAAACAAAAAAAAGGTTTGACCACTATAGGCTGAGCTGCCCGCAAGAAACAGTTGTTTACTTTAAAGGTGTAATTATGTCTCCACGGATACAAGCTCCTTTGACCTAAAAAAAAAAAAAAAAAATAAGATGTTTATTTTGACAGTTCTCTTAGTGTGTGAGTAAATCTGGGACATGAATCCAGGACACTCAGAGACATCTGTCCCCAGGTACTTACTGTGCTTGATTTATACAGTTTCATCTGCCTCTGGTTATTTTAGGAACAAGGATCTTCTGAAAAATGTTGGGGAAATAAACCGATTTTGGTTTAGGTTTGCTTTTGGAACAGTGAGGGAATTATTGGCCGTGGTTAGAAACTCATTTTGCAGCAAACCCAAACCGGCAGGGAATATTGCAGACCAAAATCCACCACTTTCAGAGAGAAACATTGCCGCAGTCATAACTCATCTTCCTCCCCTCCGGAGTTGCGAGACATAAAAACCCAGGAGGAGTGTGATTCATTAATCCGAAGCCATGGAAAACTACTGCATTGTGGTGTTTTTAAAAGCTGGCGTAAAGGAATTCTGTCTGTTCCTGCCTCACAGATGTATGACTGAGAAATCCCTGCTACACGTGGGCCCCAGTGCTTACTCATCGCCACCCCGGAGCGCCACCCAGCTTTCCATCAACAAAAGGGAAGACCATCCCACCTATCCTTTTGTTTTCCTTCACCGTCACAGGCCAAAACAGGGAACAAGAATTTTTGAAATGACGAGTTTCGGACAGAGTATTTTTACCATTTTTATTGATTTTTCCATCCACAATTGTGGAGCAAAAAAATGATGTGCATTTTAAAATAAAAAATAATCTTTGGTACCTAAAAAAAAAAAGAAATAAAAATAAGGCAACTACAGCATCTATAGGTCTGAAATGCATTTAGTATTGCAGTCAAGTGACCACATGCAACACACTGTATATTTGCCCCCATTCTGAAGAAAAGCAGGCCAACTCTGTGCCAATCGAACCAGTTCACTTCCAGTTTTAAAACTTGTGTACAGCTAAAATATCCTGTCTCAGAAGGTGCAAACGGTACAGAAAACATACTGAAAGTAGCAATTACAAGGTGATCTAGAAAATACCAGGCAAGAGCAGGCCTAAAGCATTAACCATCAAGGATGATGCAATCAAGTTTCAACAGGAGACTTAAGGACTCGTTTGGGAATACATTATACGCGCTGGTGGACATTCTGTTACATCCTAAAACTGAGGCGAACAATTTCAGGCTGTTTGTGCATGTGGCTTTGTTTTCTTTTGTTCAAAAAGAAAAAAAGACCCTTTAATGTATACAGTATTTTCCATATTAATCTGCAAGTGGTCATCCAGTGTATACAATTACATCTTACACTGTAATAAGAGTCTGGAGAATAAAACATTTTAACCAACTTTAGCTTAACTTGTTTTTGATTCTTTTATGAGAACAAATGCAACATACGGATTCAGGGCATATAACAAAGTCAGATGCAAAATATGAAAATTATTAAATACTCTGGAGCAAAGAGACATACAGCAATGCATCTCATTCTTAATCCTAAGGTACAGCTCTTGCAGCTACATTACTTTCAGCATGTGTTATACTTTAAATTACAGGTGTGATAGGTTTATTACTGCATTTCCAATACTGTCAAAACAAAAACAAAAAAAACAAGATGGTTGTATTTACATCACTGGAAAAGTAAAAAACAGAAAAGAATTAAAAAGCATCAAGAATTTACAGAAATGATGAGATATGAAAAAGATTTCTCATAACAGAGAGGAACAAATAGCAAAAGCTAAGTTGAATATGAACCACAGGCACATATTGTAAGTCCTTTTCAAATTTTTTTCCTTTCGTCGGCCTGAGGTAAGCGATATTCAAATCTGAAAGATGCCGTAGATGAAGAGGGCCATGATGGCGGCGCTGATCAGGCCAGAGATGGGAACAGTCACAAACCACGCCATAAAGATGTTTCTGAACAGGCGCCAGTCCACAGCCTTCCTCGAACGCAGCCATCCTACTGCCACCACCGACCCCACCTGCAAGCAAAGCGGTCATTGATCTCTTGGATGAGTCATTTGTAAAACTTTGTCTTGCAAATGTTTTAATGCTCCACGAGTAAAAAGAAAAATGGATGGTTGTGTGCATTTGCATTCTGCCACCAACTTTTACTGCAATTATTGTTGTTACAAAAATGATAGTTAAGGTCCAGACTGGACAGAGTTCATTAGTGGAAATGAATTTTGAAGTCTCTCCAAACACATGTTGATAAATCACGCAACACATTGATGTTTTATTATTATAATGTGTTAAAGTCCGAGAACTATGAACACTTGTAAAGCATCACATTACTCAGGAGGAACTTTGTCCATATTAGGTTCAAGTGACAGACTGCCTACTTTAGTCTCCGTCATACTAAACAGCCTCCCTATGTCTCAGTCAAATTCACAGACCACAGAGTTTGACTAGCCTACCTTGCAATGGGTGGTTGAGACAGGCAGGCCAATGTTAGAAGCAACCACGACAGTCAGGGCTGAGGCCAATTCAATGCTGAAACCACTGTAGGAAAAAAAGAAAAGAAAAACACTCAGGACTTAAGATGTGTCTGAGTGGCCTGCTAAATCCAGAACTCAGTAATGTCTGGAGAGGATGTGGTCTTCGGGGGTGATGTCTGCTTTCTGTACCTTGAAGGAGTGATAGGGGTGAGGTCCTTGCCCATAGTCTGGATCACCCTGCGACCCCACACCCACAGGCCGATGCAGATGCCAGCGCCGCCGTACAACAGAAGCCAAATGGGTGTCGGTGCATTAGAGGTCACACTGCTCGTTGTGTAAACCAACCACAAAGCTACCAAAGGTCCAATGGCATTGCTGCAGGGGAAGCAAAGAGGTTATTCACACACTGGACAAAAAGTTAGAGCAAGTTAAAATGTCACCAGCAACCTGTTTGTATCTTATCGGTACAACATGACCTTCGCTGTACAGAGTCCTTACCTCACGTCATTTCCACCATGGGCGAAAGATCCGAAGCAAGCTGTGAGGATTTGGAGGAACTGAAACAGAGTGGAGACTTCAGGCTTGTCTTCTTCGTGCCTGTCATCCAGAGAGCTGTGGCTGCTGCCCGCATCCTCGTTTCCTATTTCTAGTGTCACGTCGCCTTCGCCCAGACCTTCAGGAGTTGTGCTCTCTGCTACAGCGTTGCAGTAGCTGGTGTAACTGTCCATGCGCACACGCTTCTTTTCCTGACCGCCGGACCCCGGGGCCTTGTCGCCGTCTTCACCGACGCGAGGGTCCGCCTCTTTGTGCCTGAAGTCACCGTGTAGACCGATGATAGCCATAGTGTATGAGGTGTAGCTGTTGTTTCTTCGGATGGGCCGGTCACCTGGCTCACCCATGCAGTCGCCAACCTTGGCCAGGTGGAGTTTGTGCAGCAAGTCTTTGTAGAGGCCGGAGTCCTTGTGGACAGTGTGGTACTGACTGTAACCATTGCTGGGGATCTGAGCCGGTCTGTTATTGAACTGAGCTTGGTTATTGAAGTGGACCTGGCTAGGAGAATTTGCAGAGCCGTTACTGTGCTGGTTGTTGAGCTGGAGCTGGTCGTTTGTTTGAGGAGCTTTTGGGGCTGCAGACATAAATAAATAAATACAGATGAAGTTTTTTATTCATTGCAAAATCAAAATCTTACCAACCATTTCTGGTCTAGTTTTCAGTGCAAATAGCTCAGTACACTTGAAATCTAAATCTGACAGTTTTAATGTATGACAACACCTAATCGCAACTAGATCATAAAAACGACAATCTTTGCAGCTGATGCCATTAATGAGGACTGACTCAGTGCTGGCTGTTTTAGTATCAGTGTTCATATCTGAGAAAAAGAAAACACGAAGACTAACAAACACCAGAGATTAGGGCTGGGCAATAAATCAATAATTTATACTGCAATAGACACTTTACCAATATCAATATAATATGGCCATATTTTGAGGAATGTAGGCAGAGGAAAGGATTCAGCTGCTCAACCTCCCACAACCAGTTAAGCAAGATTGGTTCTAAGAAATCAACATGTGGGTTATCTAGCAACATGTTGAGTAACTTGTGCAGCAGCAGTTTAAGGTTTCGTAACTGTATCTCATAACAGCTCAAAAATCATGAAAAAACTGAGTAAAAAAAAAAAAAAGGAAGTACATTACAGTTTCGCAATAATTTAGATATTCAACACAAAACTTCTATGAAACGCCTATATTGTGAAAAGCATTGTTTAGATATACTGTCCAGCCCTGGCAGAAAATGAAAGGTCTAAATCATTATCTCTTACCATTCGTATTGCAGTCATCCGTCTCATCACAATCCCCGATGTTGAAAGCAACCTTGCGCTCCTTATTAGTTTCCCCCTCCTCAGACTCTCCAATGTCAAACGCGACCCTCCGCTCCTCAGGGACCGACTGAGGTTCAGAGGAGTTTTGAGTGACAGCTGGCACAGCAGGTGTAGACGTCTCATTGGCAGTCTGCTTCAGGATAGGACAGTGGGCCTCTTTGAGCTCTCTCTTTTCCATCAGGGGGCTCTCTGAGGGGCTGGAAGACTTGATATCTCCTGGCAGGACAGACATCAAGGTGAGATCGTACAAGTACACCAACCAGCTGAGATATCCAAACAGAGACGCTGTTTTCCTTTTACCTAATCTGTGAAATTCTGTAAGACTTGTGTAGTTACAGAGTCAAAGGACTATTGTCCTACAAATGTAATGTTACCCAAGTTTAAAGGCGAGTCTTTGTTCACAGGATCAGATAAATGGATTAAATGGACCATATTTACATTACTGCCAAGAGGTTACCTAATCACAGAACAGTAAACACAACATGAGGCTCACATGAATCGACATTTCATGCTTCCAAGAAGAAAGAAATTCCACTTAATGTTTTCTGTAATAAACACGCTGGAGTAAGCAGACCAGGAAGTAACCTTACACTATTCAGAAACCTCTAGGTCAGAGCTACAGTCACCTCCCACATTTTTCTTTTTTAACCCATCCATGCGAACACCTCAAGTCAATCCAGGCTTATTTTAGTCGGAGAGTTAAAAACCAATTAGAGGATCACTTTGACCCAATTAAACGACTTGTAAGGTGGCGCTCACCCAGAAAGGGCGCATTATCAGGTAAACCCAATGATCCACAAGACCTACATAACTACTTTAAACCTTTTGAGAGCTTTGTGTTGTCACATCTTTTGAAGTCATGTGACAAAGAAGGATACAACCAAATCAGTGTACAGAGAATAAAAGCACTGTTTAGGATTTAAAGAGGTTAACAAAATGTTCTGCCCTAAAACCAGAACTCTTGATTTATTGGAAGCGGGAGATAAAAAATTAATCCAGGATTATGAGGCATAAATAGGTGACAATGCTTTCAGGTGACTCATCTCTGTGAATCCACGGGTAAAATATATCCCTTAGATCCATTTGGATTATGCGAGCTCTCAACGTGACTAAGCTGTAGTTAAATGAGAAGCAATTGTTCACTGGCGGCAAAAGTCACTTCAGAAATCAAACACACAAAAAAAGAAAACATAACTTGGACTTACGTTCGATCTTCTTCTTGAGGCGAGGGCAGACAATAAACCAGACCACAATGGCAGTCAGCAGAGCACAGGCCAATGAGATGAGCAGGATGCCCCACCAAGGGACTTTGTCAATTCCCAGCTCTGAGAGATCACCAGGGTCCACACAAAGAAACACCAGAAAGGCAAATAGAAACAGAACATTTTATAAGACAAGGCAGCAGAGGCTACCTTTATAAAAGAATAATACTGAAAATAAACCATGGATTACAGGAGACATTTGAGACGTAAGACTAGTGATCTTGTGTCTTATAGAAGCAGCATATGCAGTCGCC